ACCGACTCGACTTGCTTTTTCTGTGATCGTAGGACCCTTTTGTCGCAGTTTAAATTACTCATTTGGAATTTTTTTGCNGCAGTTTAAATTACTCATTTGGTATTTTTTTGCAAAAGGTAATTTGCTGGGACCTAGAAGCGCCAGGTTTCGAACCCAAGTCTTGCTGGGTCCGAGTCTCGCGTGCTATCCACTCTCCCAAGTGTTCCCGCCCACCCACCCCTGGTAGACTTTCCTTTTATAGTAAGCAAGGGAAATTTTTAAAAAGCCCCCTTCTGGTAAAGGATTTAATGTGTTCCTAGTATCCGAGTCGAATCCCCACCCCTAGAGTTCCGCCGAGCCAATGAAAACGCTAAGCCATTTTGCATATAACTGTAAAGTATTTTATTCGGATTTAAACAATATATTCTATATTTTCAAACATCCACTTGTTAAAGATTTTACAAAAAAAAAAATTAATCACAATAAGTTTTGAATATTCATATATGTAAATCGGAAATATTGATATCTGCATTAAGACACGCTCAAGTTTGATTTAATAAATAAACTATCTAACGAACTAATTGACTAATGTTTGATGTTGCTATAATATTAAACAAATTATTGCAGATAAAAATGACCATCAGATTTTTTTAATTTCATATTTAACAAAAACAACGGCAGATCTAGAAACTGTCTCACCCACACCACCGCAGGAAAAAATCGAAAGAGACTCACTCTGATAACATATAATTTGAAAAGTCACAAAAATACTCCAATTTGCCAAGAATTTCAAAATGTGACACCCTTTCAATCTGCCATTGATTTTGTTTCATTTTACCATAAGGTGCTGTGAAATATTTTCAAGATATTGCTTTGAAGGTGAAACACATTTTACTATGTTGTGCAAAAATTGTCACGAGCTATTTGTGAAATAAAATTCCAACATTTAACAGCAATCGGCACTTTCAAATGCACTACAATACAAAAGATGCACTTCAATGGGGAATGTGAAAAAAAATCCCCTAGAGACACTAATTATTGAAAATAAAGAAACATTTTAGCAATTGCAACGTGTATTTTATCAAAATGGAGGGGCAAATCATACCACTTGCATTTGTATTTTAAAGTCCAAAAATTTGTAACAAATGGTTTGTAAATTTCTGAACATAAACAATGCTCTCATAAGAGAACATAAACATCATTTCTGCGTCTGCTCCTCGATATACTGAAGATGCTACTGAGATTGTTAAAAAGCAGCAGAGTTTTGAAAATGGGGAACTTTGGATCACATGACTGTTCCCTTCATTTTTATGCAAAAGTTCAATCTGTTCAACAAAGTTATGCCACAAATGCAAGTCATAATTGACAAATAATTACAAAAAATATTGCTTATACTTAACTTTAGAGAAATCGATAATATTAAGATTACAATCCAGATAAACGAACAAACAAAAATCGTTACATATATCCATTTTTATGCACAGTTTAACAGGTAGACTAAGATTAGCCAAATCTGTTTGCAACTACAAGTAATTTTCGCAAATTGAGCCTTTAATGTGTGAACTTTATACACTCCATTACTCAAACAAAACGATCGATTGTGGTCCTTAAAAAAATGGCACTTTTCATTCAACAAGACAGCAAGTTTTCAAGTTTCAAAAGATTATTAAAATACGAGCTTTAAGTAACTAGTTTTTGAGTCACCCTTGCTATGGAGATAAAGACTTGTGAATTTCACACATGGCGATAAAATTATAGAAAATTGGAACCCCAAGCTTTTCAGATCGTAGTTTTCGAAAAAGTTTTTGGATAAACCTAAAGAAAAAATTGCCGAAATTTCCAGATTTTTTGGCTTTATTTAAGGTCTAATTTAATGCCAGGAGTTCGAAGCGAGTGAAAATACTGTAAATGCAAAATTAAGAAAAAATATGAGAAATTTTAGTCTTTTGACAGAATTTTGTCAACTAAGCATTAAGCAATTTTAAAAGTGGATTGAACTCATTATGTATTATTTGCAGGATCAATAACTTAAGACTGCTTCAGTAGGATTTATTCAAATCACTTTAAAAATGTGAAAAAGTAACATATATCACCAAATGTGCAAAATTACGTGAACAGAGCTTTCAAGGTAGCTTAGTCGTCTTTTGAAAAAAGGTCAAACCGAGCTTTATTTGCGAGTTTTCCTGGACTAGGAAAATAGGTTTCTCTGTATTTTTGAGCATTATATTTGCATTGAAATAAACGTCAAGTCACAACTTGCTGCCTTGCTGAAGAATACTGCAAATACTAGTAGTTTTACAAAGGAGGTAAACACAGACTTATAATTACAGTAAGAAATGTTTTAAGGCATAAGGGTCGGTTTTATTCCTTGGTGAAATAAAACAAGTTTTGAAATTAATGACTACGAAGTGTTAAATATGCTGCGTTTCGATTTTTTTTTTTTACAAAAGGCTTTCAAATTTGGAGGTAAAAAATCGTGGTAAATTGTTTTGGACAAAGCGTTTTGATTAGACAACGTAATATTGACATAAGCCATAAATGAGAAATATCAAAATTATGTTCAAGCATTACTTGCAAATTGGCGCTAGCAATTCGCCCCCTATGCCTTGAAAATGGCTGCTTTCATAATCAGTTATGCAGAAAGAAGTGAATTATTAACTAGGTCACATACTTCAATGGATCATATTATGGTATTATTTTTGAAAAATGCCAAAATTAGAAATGGAAGAATATCATTAAACCTTTATCCGGTTCTTTAAATTTCAATTGTGACTATTTTGCCGTACTGTTATTATGATACCTGGTTTTCTTATAAACCACTTACTAAATTTCAACAGCCAAAATTTTAAAGGAACCATTCAACAGAATTTCCCCATCTTGACTATTTCGAAAGTAAAACTTTACTGCCACTACTAATTAAACCGATGTAATTAAAAATTCAGTGTATTTAACGTGAAGCACAACTGAAATTTTCACTATTGAGGTACGTGATGAAATAAAGGAGACATGGAGGACACAAAATATCACGAGGAGAAAATACTGGTGAATGGTAAAACCCAGTGTTTGACAAATACAGGCGTCAAACCCATATTTTAAATTCATCAAATATAAGTTTTCGACAAATACCTAATACCATTGTCTTAGAACGTTTCGTTGAATCGGTTAAAACTGAAATATCCATATACTTTGTATCCCGGTCGCCTTGCATCCACACCCTGGTCACTCAGAACTGAAAAAGTGACATCTCTTCCAAGGGTTCAGGTTTCAAATGGTCCATCGGGGTAGGAGGCAGGAAGAGCTGAGTGACCGCCCTTTCTATTTATCAATTACCATTATTTGAAAGACAGAATTTGATTAACAATGCACTAAAATAGCAATGCACAGGTAGCTTTTGTTTCCTGCATATTTTAAAATACTCTAGATTAAATTAATTAAATTAAACTTCAGACCCTTACACACCCAAAGTAAAATGGCATAATGTAGGTCACTGGTCATCCTTATATGGTCTACTGCATGCTACAATCTGAGTAGTTTTTGCCAGGATTGACAAACCATACCAATTTATAGCGCCGTCTGGAGGGGAAAAAAAATAATCTTCTCTGCTGCAATCAGTAGCTTAGCAGATTGTTATAGTGTGCTTGTGTGTGTGCGCGCGCACGTGTGCACACTCATGTGCGTGCTTAATCTTCTTTGGTTATGGTGTGTTCCTTATTTACACTGATGTTGTAGATATTGTCGATTGTCCCTTGTATAAGAAAAGAGGATATAAGAATATACAGGTTTTTATTGGTCACTATCTTTAATACATACACAGTTGTTGGTTTGACCAAATGTAAAATAATATATTTACAGATATTTATTTATTTTGGAGTATAAATATAAAGAATTTTAACCAATGGGTCTGATGATGAAAAACTTTGATTCGTTCATAACAAATGTACTCAGCACACTAGCAGTATATAACATTATCCACAGAAATCATCCTGATGTTACATCAGTGGATGTTACATTTAGCCCTGAGTTAAATGAACTTTTGTCTGCGACTAAGACAGCTCACCTAAAAATCACGCTAAAATGATAGAGTACTTGAAACTGCTCGTTTGAACCAACCAAAAAACAATGTTAGTGAATCATCCAAGCACTACAACTTCTTCCCAGCTCTCGTAGAGAGCTGACTTAATCTTAAAAGACCAAAAGTTCTGGACTAGATATACTTTAAAGACCACAAAATAAAGTAACTAATGGTCTAAATAATAATAAGCAATTACATTCTTTTGTACAAAACTAGGGCAATATTTCATTCGGTAAAAGAAGTGCAATATTTGATAAAGTGGACTTTACTATTGCCCCCGATTTATCGTGGCTGACAGTCCACAAGTACTTTGGGTGATGACGAGGAGAACATCTTTTGGTCCAAAATTCTCTTGTAAAGTCACAGCCTGTAGATCGGTGGTTCAACCGACTTCCATGCTCAGTCAGACAACATATGGGTTTATTTACAGGAGATACTGATGATCCTCACATCATCGTGTGGTTTATCAGTCTTTGGGTTACACTTCACATTGCTGATGTTCTGAACCACCTCCATCCCCTTGACCACACGGCCAAACACTGTGTGCTTATTGTCCAGCCAGGGCTGAAAAATAATTAGGCAGTGAATTATTTACATATTCTTTTATCATTGAATTATTAGATATTATTTTTCTAAATCAATAGTAAAAGGAGATTGAAATAAGTAACTTTTGCTCAGAGATTTATGAAAGTGGAGAGTAGCATTTGACCTGCAACTATGCCAGGAATAAAAGAATTGCCAGATTTAATAATTCCAGTAAAATAAAACTACATTATTCTCATTTACCTGGAAAATTGACATGCCTGTACCACAAAATATGCAGGTTTTTGACTTAACAGAAAAGAAACCAAGGCAATCAATTTCTCCTTTAAATAATCCTAATGCTTTAAAATCACCAGTTTAAAAATAATGTTGAAAAACAAATGCTCTAACATAAAGCTGGACTTACTGTGGGCACCACTGTGACAAAGAATTGAGATCCATTGGTGTTGGCTCCTGCATTGGCCATGCTAAGTGTATATGGGCGGTCATGGCGAATTGACGGATGAAACTCATCTTCAAACTCGCCTCCCCATATAGACTCTCCCCCAGTTCCAGTGCCTGTTTACAAAAAATAATTCTTCTTTCAGTAACGGCATGCAATTTTTGCATCATGTTTAAATATGCTCTTTAGTGTAAAACATGCTTTTACGTTTTCAAGACAGGTCAAGGTTGCTTTGTGAAATATGACACAAAAAAACGTAAATAAAGAAAAGACCACTGCAGCAAATATCATATCCTAAACAAAACACTTGATAATTGAAATAATAGAAATAAGTCAATTAATCTGACTACCAAACATTAAATGTATACAAGTTTTAGTTTATTATACCTAAAGGATCCCCGGTTTGAATCATAAAACCTTTAATGACCCTGTGAAATATGTGCCCATTGTAATAACCATTCCGACTGTGAACACAGAAGTTTTCCACTGTTTTTGGACACCTAAAATCATAAAATAAAATCATAAAATGAGGTAAAAATCATCCTAAAATTAACAAAATTATCATAATATTAAGATTTTGGAGAATTTTAAAAATAAAGTGAGAACTTTTTTCACTGAAAAATGTAGTGTATGGTGCCACACTTGTGCATTAGAAGGTTCAGTTTTACAAATAAGAGGTTAGAGCTTAAAAGATGTTACATCTAAACTTTAAAACTGAAAACTTTGGTCAACACCAATCATGTAAAGAACTGTCTAAAACATCACCCAAATCTGCCATAATATAAAACAGGAACCATTGTTCTCTCGGTAGTGGGCTACTACTGATTTTAGCTTTGTTAAGTGCAGACTTAATGTTTTGTTATTTTAAAAATTTAAGCCCAAGTTTCACCACGGTACTTTATTGAATAGATAGATTCTGCAGCTTTACTCACTCTTTTGGAAATAGTTTTATATGTATATCCCCCATGGTGGTATAGATCACAGCAGTGCTGGCCACTCTGGTATATGAGGCATCCTGTGTAGCAGCAACGATGTCCTCTTTGGAGGGTCTTTCATTGAATATGTCTCGCTCAGCATCAGCACTGCAATACACGATATGAAATTTTACTCTCATCTCAAATTATGTTTCAATTTAGCATAGGTCAAAAATAATCAAGGCAAAACAGCTATCACAGGAATGTATTGAATTATATATTGTGTTACATTAATAAGTTTACTTCATGTTTAATTCCGCACATGACAAGATATACAACAATCCATACCACATGCATCTGCAAAATTCAGAATAACGTGGAATAATTATGACATTTCAAAAATCACAAAATCTCAAAAGTAACACCACACACCTTTTAGAATCTGGCTCTCTTCTTGTAAACATATAAAACCTATTCTTTTTAAAGGCAGTGCAGAAAAGGGTGGGATCAGATTTCACTTCTTGTAATGATGGGTTGTCCGAGGCCTCCATCTCGGCAGACAGAGCAGCCTTTGTGCCCTTCACGGACCCTTGGAACAGGGACAGGTGGACGAAGCGAATGTTTTCTGGTTTTCCTATAAACCTGACACACTGGTTGGTGTAGAGATTTATAACTGGAAAAGAAAGATGCATGAACAATCACTTTCATATTCATTACATGGATTTTAGATTCTTGATAATCGTTGTAGATTTCAGTGAAAAAGGCACTGCTTATTGGGATTAGATCTTCAAATTTCTTTATAAAAATAAATATATAAAAGCTTGAAGCAAAAACTGACATACCTTTTATTCCTAACATTGTACCATACATAATGAAGTTTCCACTTGAGTCAAACACTGGAACATGAGGTAAAAAAATATTATTCCCTTGAACAGTATGGCAAACTGAATCTAATCAACCTCTTCCAGAAGAAAAAAAAAACGTTAAAACCTATTAGAAAAGGTGAAAAAATAAAGTGTTCACCATCAAAGTCTTGTTTACATTATATTACATAGTTGAGCAGTTGAAATAAAACAGAACTATACACTTACAAACATTACAACGTGAAAAGGCATCAGACTTTTCAAGATCCCTCTCTACGGCCATTCTACGACCAAATTCCATGTTTGGTAGCTGCTGCCGTGTCTGAAATATCAATTCACAGAATATATTTCCAATGTAAACAAAAAAAGCTTTAATTTAGTTTGACAGTCTTCCCATCTGTAAGTAAAGATACATTAATTTCCCAGGAAAAGTTGTTAGCTAAATCTTAAGACATTAGTGTAAAATCAATGCAACATAAATAGGTCTATAGACAGTCATTTTACCTGCTGAAGTTCTGTAAATGTCTTCAATGATTCATCAAGTACTTTATAAAGTTTACCAGTTGCAAATTTAAATATTCTCACCTAGAAGAAAAACAGTACAATTAAAAAAATTTTAATGTCAGCATGTGAAATAACATTATGTCACCACAAAAAGTGATCAAATAATCATATTAGTAAACATTTTCAAAAATATGTAGTCAATTGACTCTTGTATTTGGCTATATATTGTATACTGTCACTTACTTTTCTGTCTTTAGCAATGGTAGCCATCAGTTTCCCATTTGGAGAAAAGGTAACCCCCGTAGGTACAGTCTGACACTGTAAATACATGACCAAAACACAGTTACATTGCTAATATCTAATGGGTAACAAGTGTAAACATACTGAAATATAATGCACTAAAAACAGCTATCAAAATATCTAAGCGACCTTAAAATATACCAAAACATAGTTTAGAATTTTTTCTTCTTTTTACTCCTTGGTTAATTTTTGATCACAATTTTGTTATACAAGAACAAGAAAATAAAGAAATCCACATATTTATTACATTAAAATTCACCTTTGCAAACTCGTACAAATCTGTGTCGGTCTTATACTCCCAGCTGACATTTTTTGGGAAGTTGTAGTCAGATTTTGGTCCTGTCCAGTACTCTACCATCCCACTCTCATCTGCTGAGACTGCTACCTCATACACTGGGTTGTACTGCAAGGGAAAAAAAGAAAATATTATATGAACTATAAACCTCAGCCTCTATCTCTCTCACACAAACACACACACAAGAACATGTTCACTATAATTTTAGTATTTTTTGAGAAAGTGGCTCTGTATGCACTGAGATGACTGACAACAGTATTTCTTGTATTCAACATTCAAACAGTGTTCCTTAACATATAAGAAAAGCACAGTTAAATCTTTAAACATTGTTTTGCATTTTTCTACATTTAAAGATACTAAAAAATATTAGACAGTGGTTTTTACGTATGTACTGTTTTCTGAATTAACAAAAATAGGACTAAGGTTGATATCACATATATATATTTGTTGAATAACTTTCCTTCGATTGATTTAGAATTAAACATTTGAAAAACATTACTTTCAATGATATCCTAATATCAAAAATGTAAACGATTGTCAATAACTTTTAATTATTCCGCAGAGCATGGTTCAAATTGTAATGACTACCTTGATTACAACTACTTGTTTATAGTGGATTTTTTCCAGTGTTTCAATAGGCACATCTGACCCCCTTCCATCATAGATATATATTTTGTTGCCTTTCTCTGATCTGTAACAAAATAAGGTGATTACTGGCTTTAATCAAACTCTATGGTAATGTATTTCATTTTTAAAATCGCCAACAAAGGGTTAAGATTGAGGGTTTTAATGTAGTCTATTTAAATTATCTGATAAAGGAGAAATATGGCATGTTCAAATGTTTATCTCCATTTTTATATGCTATAAATTTCTTTCATTCAGAACAGCAATTTTCTTTTCATTTAGACTCTCATTTAGTTAATTATAGCAACAAAGACGTGCACTGACTTTTTTCAATTTACAAATAAAGGTAAGATGTGCACATTCCAATTACTTACACAGCCAGGGCGGGTATAGCATCTCCAGCTGCATAGATCCAACTACAGCAGTGAGGAACATAACTCAGCTTCAGCATGTTGATCATGTCTGAAATTGTGTGGTACAAGGTTAGTTCACACAGTGGGGCCAAGGGGCCTGTTGAACAAAGAGCTTGGCTTACTTTACAAAGAAACATAGCTGACCAAGATAAAATAATATTAAAAAAAAAAAAAAAAAAAAAAAAAAAAAAAAAAAAAAAAAAAAAAAAAAAAGGGGTGGGTTGGGTTTTAAACAAATCCCATAGATACTATCTGATCTTTACTTTGACACAATTTAACACTTCAGCTGAAACTCAAGTAATTTTGCATCATAGACTAGTAACTTTTAATTAAAAATCTTACCCAGTCAAAAAAAGCTGAATGCTACATTTATCTTTTCATAAAATTTCTTACCCAGTCAAAAAAAAAGCTGAATGCTACGTTTACCTTTTCATAAAATTAAGCTTGCTCAAACTGCAAATAAAGGTGATACTTTGCTTGTTACAAATAAAGGTAGTTATAGCTGGTGGAAAAAAACATAAATTTCAATGATTTTATGCTCTTAGATATTACTTACCAAAGTTGATAACATCGAACACTTTCAATGTTTTGTCATCAGCAATAGTGCAGCACAGTTCCCCATTAGGGCTTACTGCCATGTCAAGTATAGAACCTAAAGTAATTTTAAATACATTAAAAAAAATTAATGGTCTACAAAACTATACTCAATGAGGATTTTAATGCAAATTATTAAAAAAAAATCATTTGGCTAAGACCAAGTGAAGAAAATACATACAAAATAAATCATATACATCTAGGGCAAATTTCAATTTTGTAACTCAATCAAGCTATGCTGAGCCAGAGATGTAAAAAAAATCTGTTGTTTTTTCTAATTAAATCCTACAAATGATCCGTTCAATAGTCAAAATTTCTTTATGAAAATTCCGTACTGTCTGAGGGATTTAGTGAATTAACTAACCCAAATGTCCTCTGTAATGCTTGACAAACTCTATGCCTTCATCTTCCTTCTTTTTCCAAAACTTCACATGTCCATCCACACTGCTTGTGACCACAAACTCGGTTCTATCACAAGGGAAAATTGTGTTTAATCATTACTGCACTTTATCAACTTTGTTTTATTTCACAAGTGCCAGGAAAATTTATAATAAAATACATGACATTCAACNTTATAATATCAAATACATGACATTCAAAATTACAGACTCAATCTTATCTACATCAACATTTCAAACTTTTTCGTTTTTACAAATTACAGATACATCCAGTTACCTTGCTGCTTCCACGTGTGTTAAAACATCCCTGTGCATAAAACTCCTTTCATATGATTCTGCACATGGCAAACTGTCGAGATACACTTGTTCAAACTCCAAAACTGGAGGAAAGAAATGAAAGAAACGTGTTTATGAGAAAGACAAACAGATATAACTTATTCGACATTTCAATGAGCGGGATTTGAAGTCCGTGTTTACATTTAACCATTTAGACTAGTATACCAGTCTAGACTCTAGTAAAATAATTTGAATTTCTGGAAAACAACGCCTTATAGTGTGTCATTAAGTACTCAATATCGAACATTACTTTTAAAATGAAGTGTCTACCTTTCCTCTTCTTTGGCTTGGCCGCCTCCTCTGGCATAGGACCAATCCATTCGTCTGCATCACCGGTTTCTTTCTCATCATCGTGTGATCGTTTCACACTCTCCGCCATGCTTAAAAATTTACAATAGCTATAGATGGCGCTACAGTCCAAGACAGGTAGTTTGTTCTGTTCTCTTTAGCTGCAGCACAAGCACATATATAACAGCATTTATAAGACTACAGGAATGAAAGAAAATATTTGCAGTGTATAATAATTACATGAAAAACTTTTCTATTTTATGAAATAATTACATGAAAACGGAATACCCGACACAGGGAAGATAACTAGTCAAATTAAAGGGATAATAACTCTTCGTATGAGATCTATATTTCACTATAAAAACATTGTAAACAACTCATAGAAATATAAGATATTCTGTTTTACCACAATAACGGCTATTATTCTGATATCTGAGCTTGTCATCAGACCACGTGACCTCCATAGATGGCTATACTCTGTAATAATCTCTTAAGAGATTATAACATAAAATCAAACATTTTAGAAAAAAAAACAGGGATCGACCAACTTTGAATGTAGAAGTGGATTCGTTAACCATTGGTAAGTATGGGAAAATTGGGAAAATTGTTTACTCCGAGAAAAATTTTTTGGCCAAAACGAAGTCATTATCCCTTTAACTGAAAATAAAGATGTTTATGTATTTTTCGTTTTTTTTTTAATCTAGACGGTGCCTAGATTAAAAAATCTGACTGAAGGAAACGTAGATCTATAGAAACAAAGAAGATTACTGTCACTTTCTTCTCACGTGGTCATGTGGTCTGATGACAAGTTCAGTAAAAAAGTTAAGACCGCAAATGACGTGATTGGGACAGATCTTACCCCTCACGGCGGGTTTTATTTAAAATCAACCTTAGTACTTCCATTTTGTATTCATATGATTAGTTTAGTCCACATTGATTCGATTAATTTCACTTTGTAGTCAAGTTAAAATAATTGATTTGTTTGGACTTCCATGTATATACTGTATCGAAAATGAGTAAATAATTCTGACATTTTCTCTCCCTCTCTCCTCTCTTGTGAGCCTTTTGATGTACGCTAAATTGGAGCACACATGTAAGCTCAGCACCTGTGCTATACTGCATGGTACATGAGGAACGAAGAAAGACAAGATATGAAGTTACTCCGTGCACATATTTTTAAAAAGTGTGCTGTGTGTAAAAGAGTGTAAATACCAAAATTATCAATCCACTTAACCTGCTTACGTCATGGGAGTTAAACCCTTGTATCAAGACAGCCTGTATAAAAGGCCAGCCCCCCCCTTCACACTTTAGTATCGTAGCAGTTCGTTTGAAAAAAAAGTTTTTAATTTCTTTTATTATTTTGAAAAATGACAACAAAGAGTTGTGCAAGAAAAGAACTATTTTAATTTTCAGTCATGGGATTATTGTACAATGTGAATTATAAATATAGTACAGGCATATGAATGAGTATTTTGTTCCATCATCAAGTGCTATATAAATTGTAGATATACGTGAGTAGCAGGTAACAATAAACTTAACCCCTTTCAACACCCTCCCACCCTCTTTCCTCCATAATCTGATAAAAAACTCTAAATTTGTGTTTGGCTTAGAAATTATTGTTAGATATTAGAGATTTAAGCTGTGATGTAGTCAGTGTCCCACGCCTCTTCCACCACTTGTGATGTCAATTTAAAAGCAGTGGTAACGGAAGACGCCCTTCTTCTTATTGCGCCCCTTCCTGCTTTTCTTGCAGCGTTTCTTGTCCTTGGCGTCCTGGGGCTGTGCTGCCAACACCACGTCGGCTTTTGGCTCCTCGTCCTTCAAGTGGCCAAGTTTTGGAGATGCGTCTTCCCCGGCGGTGTCCACGAGAACGGTGTTTGGCATCTCTTCAGTTAGGCATGCTTTGATAGAAGGCTGTAACCGACCAAAATTCAATAATGTGTACATTTTGATTATACAATTTACTACTGGCCTGATTCTATAAGAACATACTTCGGTAGTTACATCCTTGTACGCTCAAATCCTGGATTTGTTTAAGTCCAATTACTCCGTAAGTTGGAAAAAATTAAATACGATATTGAAATAAGTCCACTTTGATAATTCAATTTAAATTTAATATCAAAAGCACTAAATACAAATAAATTTCATTTGTACAGGGCTTGCATTATTTATTTACAAACCTCCTCCCTCTTCTCTTCCTCCAGAATGACTGTCTCATGATCAGGGACAACTGTGCTGTCTTCTGCCACGCCTGCCTCAGCCTGAATGCTGGTGTCGTCAAGGATGGCGTTGGGCTTCTCGTCCATGGAGAGGGCAATGTCCTCCAGTCTCTTGAGCATGGCCTCATCTCCTTCGTCACCATCTTCTTTTGGAGATGACTTGATTGTAAGCTGTGTCTGAAAAAAATACACTAGCTTAATGCATAATATTTGATTGTATGGTCCATTGATGGTCTACACATAATAGACCGCGCATTATGCGTATTTAATTCTGTCCATAATTTAGCCATAGCCCAATGTTTTTTTTTATTTACATGGTGCTGTTTGGTTGAGTTTGAAGCAATGTCAATAATAAAGCCGACAATACTGCCTTTGACCAACAATAAAAATAGACGATATATATTATTTTTATGCGAAATGATATATATCTATTTACAAACCTCTTTCTTCAGCAAGAACTCCAGATTGTCTGTCTTTGGGGGAACAATATGATCTTTATCTCCATACCCTTCTTCTGTAACAATGAAATGAAAATGACTGAACTGGTAACAAAGTAAATTACAAAAACAAAGATGAAAAACTACGATCAATTATTCAACGATGTTTTGTTTAGTTAGTTATTATTATTATTATTTTTGAGTGCTATTATTTCGAAAGAAAAAAACGAACGAAACTGATCCGAGAAATACGCAATGCTAGATGGGACATTACAGTTGGAAAGCTGATGGTTTTTAAACAAAAGAAACTTGATATTTGTAGGCCTACTGACTTTCCATTTGACTAAGTTTTTTCTTTATCTGGTCTATCTCCAGTTCCAGACGTTTCAGATGGGAATTCTCAGTCTGGAACTAGAATAAAAACCAAACATTTTTAAAAATTCATTAGGAAACAGATTTATCCGGTCAAAAAACAATCCATTTTAATTGATGGAGATAGTTGGCGACTACAGATATACGGTACACGTGTGCAAGTTGCCGAAATATCATAACATTTTAAATGAACAAAAATGAATGGCTGATGAATGGACCTTACTCAAACAAAAAATGGAACCATTTATTGTAAAGGAATCTTTTACCTTTTCCTCGACTTGGACAGCTTCTTTGGTATCGTTCTTGTCCCCTCCTGCAGGAGTATCCTCATCTAAAATGTTACATCATTTGTATATGTTACTGACTAAGGAAAATAGGATATATAGTTGAAAAATAAAGTATGATATACAAAATAATTATGCATTGTTTCTAAAGGTAAACATCAACATGGAATAATCGATTATAAGAATATATATTAATCAAGACTTTAAAAAAGACCAATGCATGACAGCGACAGATCAACAATTCAGCACATAAACAACTGGATTTATTATTTTATTTTTAAATAAAAATAAAACACAAAACAGAATCCCACGTCACAAAATCATCTCCTGCTTTATTATTACGAACCTCCAGTTATCTTGATCACGATAGCCCCTACTTCTTCATATGGCTTGCTCAGTCCCGTCATCACATCATCAGGTGGCTAAATAATGAATCAAAATTCGAATCACACCATGCAAAACTATGCAAACAATATAAAATAATTCTAATCGTAAAGAAAAGAAGATAGTCCGTTTGGGGAGTAGACCAAAATACTGCTTGTGTTTTTTCTAATATTATCATTAAAATGGACACAGTGCGCACAAGAAATGATTGGCGTATATCAAATGGAAATCTGCAGTAAAGATTATATTATATAGGCATATACATGTATTAAAGAACAGAACGTCCTTATACCTTTGCCCCCAGAAGTCCATTGAGCCTGTCAATTTCATCATGCTGACGAGATATGGTCAACATCAGTCCAGTAACACGATTCACCATTGCTTCTTTCTCCCACTTCAGCAGCCTTTTTTCCTCTTTCTCGAGTTGAAATTCCCTCTCTAATTGGGTCAATCTCCTTTCAAGAGAGGCCATCCTTTCAGTGTTAACCTGTCGTTCGCTGCCCAAGAAATCTGAGACAAGAAGTTAAAAAATCAATTTGCACATCAGAAAAACAGAACGGCAAATTAAAAGCTTTCATAAGAACAGCCACAAAATCGGTTATCCTGGCCATAGAAAATCACCGTTTGGATTATATAAATCGCTCTCTATACTTAGTATAGCTTACATTGACGTTTTCCATAATCTTACAACATTTTCCTAAAAAAATGTTCCCCTCATTTCGGCTCCATTGCCGGTTTGTTATTAATCCATTAAATAAGATAATTAATGAGCGAAATATAAACCTTTTTAAAATTACCTACCGATACGTTTCTCCAAATCTGCTATTTTTGAAGTGGTTTCTTCAGTATGTGTATCTGCAAAACTGATAGCCTCCTTGGTGTTCTGGAGAGCGCTTTTGTTTGTGTTCACTTTATTTAACACTTCGTCCATTTGGCATTTCAATACCATTAGGTGGTGATTAATCTTTGAACGTTCTAGTTCATTCGCAACCTCGATCGCCCTTTTCTTCCGAATTTTAAATAGACCTAAAATTAGAACGACAGAACGTTTTTTTTTTCAAATCGTATGCATGGCAAATTGTAGCAGTTTAACATTGGATTTCAACTCCCCAGAATTAATTCGGCTGTTTATCTAATATGATATTTATAGTAATATTGACCCGCTACCCCATACCTGCTACCCCCAATCCGCCAGTTTTTGACATGTAATTCCTTATGCCAAATGCCCGAATGTGTCGATTTTTTAAAATATAAGACTGTACTCAAGGACAAGATAAAATTTTTTCACTCCAAGTTCTTCGAAATAATTTTGTATATAGTCCTACATTGAATTAGTTATGCCTTTGGGAAAGTAATGAAAAAATGGATTGGAATATTTTACTCCGATATATCGAGCGCGTTACAAAATCAAAACCATTTAACATGGTATTTAGATATACGTATGTGCACACCAGTTCGAATAATTTTCTGTCTTTGTTGTAAGTTCCCGTTTGGGGAAAACGTCCCAGTGGACAGCATTTGTCATGCCCGACCCGTTAAGCTCTATTTTTTGTGACTGAATTATCCACAACAACGAGTATATATTGCATTTTGTAAAACGTCTTTAGCAATGTGGTGTGCCTTGAAATTTAGAGACTTGCCAAGCGAATAAGTAAGAAACCACTTTGTCGTAGGCCTGTCGATATTGCGATATATTCTTGGCCTCCTTGATTATGTTCAATTTTACTACGAAAATTTGAGTTTAGTGAATCAAATTGTATTTCAAACATAGATGGAAGATAAAGGAGTAATAGATTTCACCATACTTCGCTTATGTTAGTATTTTACGCTGAAAATAAATATTAGTGAAAGAGAGCCAAAAAATTACTCACCCATTGTCACTCATTCGGAAATTCTAAATTACCTTGGTAACGTGGTGATTATGCATATCAAGACAAGCCACGTTCATTATGGCGTCACGTTTTCTCACGCGTCATGAAATGGCGGCTTCGATTATCGCGTCAAAATTTAGAAGAGCGTTCTTTTTAATGTACGATTGATAGTTTTCAGGTTATCATTGTTTTATTATTTCTGCTGAAATGTTACAGTAATGTGGATGTCCGTTCTAACCCATGAAATTGTATATATAAATTTCATAACACTTCTAAATATCATTCTGTAAACAATTTCTGTCTAAACGAGGGCTCTATGTTAAGTCTGATAAAAGTAGGCCTACAATTGACGTGCACAGATGACATTTATCTCATAAACTGTAAATGTAAATATCTAAAAACGAAATGACGGGAAGAAAACGCATGATAATTTTGAAGTCTTGAAACACCATTTCGGAAATTAAACAGTGAATTGAAACACCGAACCTGTTGTACGGTACTTTAGAATATATGGCATTTCATTTTTGTGTGCATTTCGCGAAATTGATTACCGATACTTATCCCGAATATACCAGATATATGTCGTATGGTCTTAAAATTCCAGAGCTATCTGTATTTTCTTAAAATTCAAGAACTATCTGCATTTTCATGCAATAAGTTGAAAAATTGGCACATTGAGTTTCAGAGGGCACTGGAAACTCCATTAAATAAAGGATCTAACGGTAATGAGTCTTTAAATTTAAAGAAATATGACTTATGAGAATATGAAAAGTTCCCAACATTTTGTTTGTAATACACTGTGCTTAAAATGTTGATAAAAAACTTTGAAAAATGGCTGCCTTCATGCAAGAAACTTCATCTCTATGGGTAGCTAAAATGATAAATCTTGAAAGAATAAAAGTTCAGAATAAGTGGTGTTTGAAAATTAAATGTTTATTGCAATATTGCATCATGATCACTAAATGCAGATTCAGTAACATACACATGCTTTCAATTCACAGGGCCGTAGCCTCCGGGGGGGGGGGGGGGGGGGGGCGGGGGGGGGGGGGCAGTTGCCCCCCCGGGAAATGGGAATTTTCCCCACCGGGGGGGGGGGCACCCCCCCCCCCCCCCGGGGGGCGCCCCCCCCCCCCGTCCCCC